GTTGGTACACAACGGTCATCTCAGCGAGACGAGCGGCAGGTGTACAGTCCCGAGACCGCGCAGACAACCCAACAAAACGGGCTGGCGTAAGGCACTTAGGTGCCGCCATATAGCCTCCTCAGTGGTAGTAAGCCTAGATTAGTCGGCCCACCACATCTTTTTTGTTTATGAGGCGTACAGCCATATCAGATGTGGTTACCCAGACTAACCTGGGCCTCATCATCCGGCTTTACCCGTCGCCGGGCCCCCAACGCAAGCCCGAAAAAGGACCCGCCACACGCAACCCAGAACGATCCGTAAGTGTCCCTGTGTTTGTTTAGTAAGAGTGTGTGATGCATGTATCTGAGAAGAATGTTTTAACCACCGCTTACTTCTATACACGACGGGTGCTAGTTTTTGTTGGCCCGCATCAAGCAATGCAGTGCCACCCACGGAAGCAGCAAAAAGCAAGGAACAAGGAGCACAAGCAGAGCCGGCCCATGCATCCACACCGATAGAGGCATGGGGCACTAGTCCCCTGTCCACATCGCCGCAGATACACACGCCAACGCGACACACGCCCCCCAATCCACGCCCTTGACCACAACCTCAGAGAGCCACCCCAGCTGCCCATCGTCACCTCTTATTTTAAGAGGATGCCCCTATCCGCCACGCGGGGAAGCGCCCGGTATGGAGAAACTAGCGAAAACCCCACCCGGGAGTAGTAGTAGCAGTAGTAGCAGTAGCAGTAGCAGTATCAGTAGCAGTAGCAGTAGCAGTAGCAGTAGCAGTAGCAGTAGCAGTAGCAGTAGCAGGCCTTACCTATTAAACCCCCCCCCCATGCCGCGTGGCTAACTATTCACCCCAGAACCGCGTCAGCATTTCTTCAGGGTGGAGCCATTAGGGGGACCATTGCGTCTCACAGCATTATCGAGCTATCTCGCCACCATTTGCTAGAGGTGCTGATCCTCTCGAGTCCTGAAAAGGACTCGGGGTCCTTATAGATTGGCACCCATTCTCTAGCGCTACAACATTCGTTGCTTCTCCCTGCTGCCGCTTAAAGGGCAGCTTCAGCGTCCTACGCAGCGGATTTCTCCTCTTTCTTCTTGCGACGGACCACTGACCTGACGTAACTGTCCACCACCCTTTAACTCATTTCGGTGCGAAGTATCTGAGAGATAATGTTTTCGGGATTGGGCGTTATGCCGAGCTTGTCCACCAATTGCTGGCACTCACGGTGCCATCTCTCGCACACGAAAACCGTGTGTTTGATGGCATAATCCACCGCGGGGCAGTATGCACATCTAGGGGATGCTTTCATCGCCACGCGATGGAGATAGGCATCGAACTGACCATGCCCAGAGAGGAACTGACTAAGGTTATAATTCACCTCTTCATGCCCTCTCTTTACCTATGGTCGCAGGTCCGGGATTAGCCGGTGCGTCCATCTACCCACACTAGCCTGATCTTAATCCTGTGGCCACGTCGTCAAGGTCTCCTTCCGCCTGTCGCCATCACTTTTATTACTGGAGCTCAGGAATTTTCTTTGCCGCTCCAGTGCAAGCAACACGACTGGGATCGTTTGTGCTATCACCATAACAGCAGCAAAGAAAACCGTGCGGTAGGCGGAAGCGATCCTTAGAGATCTGATGCGCTGCACCGAAATGAGGCGCTTTTGGACGTCCCGTCTTGCAACCGCATCCACCCACACCTCCGCGCCGTACAGCAGTATCGAGTTGGAGACCGACGCCAGAAGCCATCTTTTGGCCTCTCGCGGGCCCCCAACGTTTGGCATTAACCGTTTTAGCTCTCCCGCAACCTTGGCGGCTTTGTCAGCTGCTCCCCGCACACACGAATAGCATCCTCGAGTTCGGCAAGCCGCCCTCTAAAGACGCCGATCGATATGCTAGGAGAAATATAGCAGCTCACATAGAATACACTTTCACTCCTGATCCACACGAAACAGTCCTTACCTCTAGTATCGGATACAGGGAACTTGTCGCTGCGAATCAGGATGGCTGCGCATCCAGTCCTATCGCAGTCCTTTGGAAAGATCCAAGACTTTCGTTACCAAGATACTACAGACGGATCAAAACGCAGTTCACACGTTAGACTGATAAAGGAATGTCAATGAAAACTTCTTAAGTAGAAACGAACATTGAAGCTTTTATTTCTTTGTAAATAGAAAAGATGTAGTACTGAATTATAAATTAGTCTTGACCATGATTAATGAATAAATAGGTAATTTTTTAACAAGTACTTGGTCAGAACACCGTTGTTGTTCATATGGCGTCACATAAAAATATATTAAAAATAATTATAACACTTCATATCTGCAAGTCAATAAAAAAAACAACCTTGGTTTATAACATCGTTTCGTACGTATGCCATAATTAGAGTGATGATAAAGTCAGTCTTACTTTTTAAAATAAAACGTATAATTGTGATGTTAAACAGAATCCATAGATAAAAAATCATTGATTTAAATCAACATATCTAGTTGGATATAAATATGAAACGTGTAAACTAGGTAATTTAACAATTTGTCTGAAAATAATGAAATTTGAATAAACAAGTCAATCCATCTACTGAGTTTGAATGAATCAAGGAATTAAGTTATAAGTAAAAAAATATCTGCACGAATCACTCATAACTAGAAATAATTTAGAAAAATACCTACCAATAAATTCAAATAAATTACTCGTCTACTTTTGGTGGTAAAAAAAAA